ATTTTGGCAGGTTTGTCGCGTTTAGTTGTTGAGAAAATTTGATTGAATTTGAGAAAAGTTGAACTGTTGTCCGCCATTTTGAAAATAAGCGCGTATGCTAATTTATGTCACAAAATACATTATCTGACGTCATTGGCTGGGAAAACACAATCTCATGACTATAAACAATACCGTGTATTACCACGCATAGTGCATTTTGAGCCAAAACAAAAGGCAGAAAAGTTTTACCAAGTATGTAACTTGTTTGTAACACTATTTCTCATGGTATATATCCTACTCCGTGTTAAATGAACGCAGAAATTCGAGTGTAACAAGGCAAATACTAATGCAACACTTTATGATCAATTACTTGTATTGTAAATTGAGACATTGCTTGCTTTCCCAGTCGCGCGATATGTTTTTATCTGATAGTGTAGACTTCTCTTGTTTCATTGCGAAGAGTGTTGGCCAGTATAACGCTCAAAACGACATATTTTTAGCTAACATAACACGCACACAATAGAATTATCTCTTGTAGTTTTGGTGCTACCCAGCCAATGACGTCACAAAGTTCATTGACCTTCGAGATATTTTTTCAAAATTTTTTTCCAAGATGGCGGCGAAACTGGCCGAAACACAAAGTTTGCGGGGTAGCAAATCTTCGAGTTAAGCCTCTCGAGTTAAGCCCTTCGAGTTAAGCCCCGACCACGCCCACACCACGCATATGCTTAACTCGAAGTACATAACTGGAGCTAGGTACTTCGAGTTAAGCCCTCTAGAAAATAGGGGCTTAACTCGAGCAAAGTCAAACATTTTGTTCTTCGAGTTAAGCCCCAACGTTTGAAAGATGTAAACGAGTTATGGTTACTTTAAAACTGTGGCAATTGATGCACCAGGCGGAAATCTTAGTTTAAAGGACATCGGCAATGGATTTTTTTATTGCCTTGTTTTGTTCTCTATAATTGTCTTAGTCAAGATATGTATTTCATTTACGATGAAAATATCTCAATTTGTAGTAAAGAGCGAATGAATTTGGTCTAATTATGCATATCGTCCGCCATTTTGAAAGCACATTTTGGAAAATTATCTTTCATGTCATTTGAGGCCTCTGACGTCATTGGCAGGGGAGAAGCAAAACAATACGCTGTCGCTACTATAGCTTTTGATCAGTTTTAACTTTTGTGAAGAGTTTTCGCCGGTTCTAGGCTTTCTATGGACGAAATTCACGAGAATCAGTTAGGTGAAGTATTACCTTATCAGTTTGAACCTGTTTTAAACAAAAAATACGGGTAGCAGTGGGGCAGAAGCGATTCCGAAAGCGAGTCGTCCTCAAAGGCTCAGACGACGACTTGAGAGTTGAGACTTCGATGAAGCATTCGAGGCTGAGAATATCTGGCGTCTTAAATCGCGCAGTTGGTGCAAGTGTGGCCACTGTCCCTTGCAAACAAAGACAATAGGAAGTTTTTGCTCGCTCGATAACGTTTTAGAGTACGATGAGTACGACCCTTTAGTCACAAATGCTGAAGGAAGCGGTCAATGTTGGTTTTAGTTAGCTGTGGGTTAGTTATGGTATTTATAGTTTTACTTCGTTTGGTCAAAATTTTCTAATGATGTCGTTTGTAGTGCAGAAGGTACTTCTTCGATGATTAACGTATGTTCGGCCTCTAAAGTTGTTAGAGCTGCATTTACAGTCCTATTCAGTTCTGGCGATTTGTTCTAGTGATTTATTCTGCGTCGTTGCTTCCGCTTCTACACTTAAGTTTGCAGTATCAAATAACTGTCTAAACCACGGTGATTCTGTTGTTATGAATGCCTGTGTTTTGAATGTGTGTGATTTACTTGTGTGTTTTAGCGAGGTCTGACTTCTGAGTGTATTTTGATCCTAACTGTGGAGCGTAAATCAACTAAATGTCTTCAGAGATCTGAACTGGCTATTATTTCTTCCTCGCAAACTGCGTCTGAGTCTATGCGAACGTCTGCTTTTATATCGGATTATCGATTAGATTACTCGCAAGTCGCAACCGACAAATTTTCATCCTCTGTTGATGAAAGTGACTTTAACCACTCTTCAAGATTCTAAATTGTGAAACAATGAAGAAAAATAAGGACATTGAAGAAGCAGAATTTATTAAAGCTATTGGTAAATGTATCTTTCAAGTACTGGTATCTTTTGACGTTGTCTCCTCTCGGTTTGTCTCCTTGTTCTCTTCGATTGTGACGATGCAGATACGTTAGAAACGCTAGCGCTGTAGACTAGACGAAAAATTCAAGAAGTCGATTATTTAAAGTGCATGAGGCATTTCTTAGTAAAAGTTGGCGACAAGTGTCTTCTTATGTAGTTTTTGACGTTGAATCCGAATTTCATGGTCGCCAACTCTGATTTTGCGTTTGGATCAAGATAATGACGTCATATTATGACGTCATGAGATTGACACTAGAAATGACGCTATCTTACTTGTTCGTGTCTATTTCGAAATTGCAAACGCTATTTTCTCTTTTGCGAGTTGTTAAAAAAGCTAATAGACCAGAAATAAGCATAAAGTTTACGAATAACACGAAATAGCCGATTAAATCAATTAAATAAACAAATAATTTGAGTAAAAGCAGACTTCAATTTTACGGCAAGAAATGAAAGCTAATGAAACCGAATTATTTCTTTTAGTCTTTAAGAGTTTTGGACTTGTGGCGATCGTGGCATAAGTATATTTGAAAACAGAACTGGAAATAGTTTTTGAAAAAAAATATTTAAAAAAATTACAATCCAGACAAACAAGCGTCTGAAGTATAGTAGAGAATGTGTTCGTAGACTAGATGTTGGCGCCGTCTTGGCGACGCCTGTCTGATTTGTAAAATGTATTAAAAGGCTATGCATTTTCTTCTTGATTTAATATATTTAACCGTTTGAGGACAATATAAATTTGCGAAGTCTGTTTTCTTAATTGCATGGGAAAAATTGGTTCAGTTCTGCTGTTATTGTTTGTTGCGGACTTGTGGTCTTCAACTTTCGAGCCGCAAAGATGGATCCCGTTTTAACGTTAAAAAGATCTTCACAAATCGACGTAAATGCTTGTATTTTCTGCCAGACCAGTCTTAAAGATGAACATTTGAGAGCCGCTACTGATTATAGCAGAACGGTAGTTCTCGATGCCATGAATTTGCGGAGCAAGTTTAGAGATGTTGGGAACAGGGAAACAATCAGTAGACTGGAAGAAGTCATAAATAGTATTGATACTTCAATCGTTTGGCATGTTAAATGCTATTCCATATTTACAAGCAAAGACAAAATTCAGCGCCTGGAGAAAAAGTGCAACAAAGATGAGGCGTCTGCAATACCAACCTCAAGTACGCGTAAAACGCGTGCGCAAACAGAACAAGTTGATTGGGATAAATGTGCTTTGTATTATTGTATTGTATTAAAACTTTATTTAAAGACACTAGCCCCGTCAACGGTGCGTTGGTTTCCACGGGGGGCGTCTACAATGTTAAAAATTACAAAAGATATAAGGGAAAAGAAGACTATTTACAAAATGGTGTGACCCCAGATGTTATGGTTAGACGGAGTTACAATTTATTTCAAATATATATAGTATTAGAGTTAAGTTTTAAATGGCTTTTGAACAGGTGCATTGATTCTGCCAGTTTCGTATCGATAGAGAGACTATTCCATAGCTTAGCCCCACTGTATTTAAAACTCTTTTTTAGGAATTCTCTTTTAGGCTTAGGAAGAGCCAAATCTGTATGACTATTTCTAAGATCATAATTTGTTTGCATATAATTGCGTCTTATCAAGGATTCTTTCAACGTAGGTCCTACGTAATCCTTCAAGACTTTAAACATTAATATTGCTTTGGTTGTACGTCGTCTTGTCTCTAATTTGTCCCAAGCAAGAGATTGAAGAACATCAGCAGATCTAATCTCATAACTTGCACCGACAATGATTTGGGCTGCGCGATTTTGAAATTATTGGAGTTTATTTTTCAAATTTTGATCACAGACGCCCCAAATGAGAGAACAATAATCAAAATACGGCTGAATCAGAGCTCGATAAATTGTTTGAAGGGTGGTTATTGGAACAAAGGGTTTAATACGTCTCAAAGTACCCAGGCCTGCTCCAACCTTTTTGCAAATCGCCTGAATATGTGAATTCCAGTTAAGATTTTCATCTAAATCGAGACCAAGACATGTGAAAGAGTGAACTCTGGGGATGCGTTGGTTATTTAACATCACTGGATGATCAAAAGTTGTGGAATTAATATGATGTTTAGAGCCAATGAACATTATTTTGGTCTTAGTTGGGTGGTGTTGTAATTTATTTCTAGAAAGCCAATCACCGATTCTACTCAGATCGTGATTAAGGTTTTCGGTTAATTCAATCAAACTGTTAGAGCTGCGGCAAATTTGGGTATCGTCAGCATATAAATAAGGAGTAGTTTTTTGAAGGCATTCGGGGAGGTCATTGATATAGAGTAAAAATAACAGTGGACCTAAAATAGATCCCTGCGGAACCCCAGAAACAATCCGTTTTGACAATGACATTGAATTATTAGTCAGGTTTATACGAATGAGCGCTTATCGTCAGTTATGACATTTAAGATGAGTGAACAAATTATTGAGATTTCTAAGTTTAACAAAATACTGTGCACTCGATTTGCGGGTATCTCACATTTGATAGCCGCTGAAGCCAAGTACCATTTATCATGCTTCAGTGCATCTAAAAGATCAAGGGATAAGACAAAGAGTGAAATGAAAGACAATGATTTAGCATTGGTTTGGTTGTCCAAAAAATTGGAGTATGCTGCTGACAAGGGCCATGTTATTAGACTTGATGATAGATACAGGAGAGATACACTATATTAGCCGAAAAAGCGGGCAACACGCTTCCCTCTTCTTTTATCAGTCGAAGGGCGACTTTTAAGGACAAACTTATGCATATGGTTGGAGACATCATAGAGTGCGTGCAATCATTTGCAAGGGGGCCGTCTGAGCGTCATACCTTGCTAATTCCCAAAAAGTGCGCTAAAATGGCTCTGTCCCAGTTAGTAGCCCAGGGTACGGCTGACGAAGAAGACGATGAACTAACTCTGCCTGTTTATCACCAACAAGACGATTTCCTCTCTCTTGTTCATGTGGCGTTGATGATACGAGCTGATGTGCCGGAGACCCCAGGTTACAAGAGACTCGACATAGGCATGCACAATGTCGGTGACTGTGTACCCGAAAGTCTTCAAATGTTTCTAAATCTTTTGTCTGGAGGTGAACGACTTTTAGATGAGGAAACTATCGAAGAAAAAGAAAATGAAGTTCGCAGTAAAGCGCTTGCCGTTGCTCAAGATATTGTGTACGGGGTAAGCAACGGTAAGAAATGGACACCTAAGCATGTTGGCTTAGGGAGCACCCTTCACCAAGTCACAAGATCGAAAGATCTAGTTAAACTTTTTCACAAGGTAGGACATATTCTGAGTTATGACCAAATTCTTCAACTTGACACGGGTTTAGCCGAGAGTGTTTTAAACAGTTTGGATGAAAAAAGCGGAACCGTGATCCCGCCAAATTTGGTGCAAGGTAATTTCGTACACTTCTCTGCTGATAACATTGATATTTTGGACGAAACGCTGGACGGTAAGAACACGTTTCATGCCACACAAATAGCTGCATGGCAACGTGGGGCAGAAAATTCGTCGTTACTTGACGGTGTAAATCCATCCAAAAAGCGAAGTTTGGATATTCCAGAATCGATGGACAAGATTGAAACGATTGTGGCAAGAAAAAGCAATCCTGTCTTCATTAAAGCAGTTAAGACGACGTGGTATGACCAAGCTGAAGATAAGAAAGAATGTAAACAAGCTGCCAAAGCTACTGATTTGGCATTCAATATGCTACGAAGCGAAGGTGTGATCAGAAGCGGATGGACGGAGTTTAACCAGTCGCTATCACGGGGAGAATTTGGCGACAAGTTCGGGCATGAAGTAACAAAGGTAGGGTACATGCCAATCATACAAGCACCCGCGCACGAAATGGATACCTTGAACACGGTCGTTAAGAAATGCATGCATGTGGCCACCGTGCTTGGACAACAGTACACTATTATCACCGTAGATCAGGCACTGTACTGCAAATTAGTCGAGTTGAAATGGGCAATTCCAGAATATCGAGAGAAACTTGTCGTGCAACTCGGCGGTCTCCATATATCTATGTGTTTTCTTAAGACCATTGGAGATCATATGAAGGGATCAGGCCTTGTTGACTCATGGATAGAGAGTGGTCTCCTAGGACCAAATGCGGCTGAGACTGTGATGAACGGCAAGGCGTATAAGAGAGCAATGCGTGCGCATAAGATAACACTGCAAGCCCTATGGCGCCTGTTGGTCCCGCTGTTACTCAAGTTTTGCAAAACGATCAATGTTGATCTTGCACTGCAGATTTTGCGTCTTTTGTCGTCAGAGCAGAATGTTAATGATTTGATTACATGTTTGAAGTCGCCACAATTTCAAACGGTGTACGACGAGTTCTTAACGCACAAGGGTCAGGAAAATGTCAATTTTCAGTTCTGGTGGAGCTATATGGAGATGATATTTATCCTACTCGATTTTACCCGTGCGCAGCGGGAGGGAGATTGGGAGTTGTATCTAGACAGCTTCCGTGCCATGCTTCCATACTTTTTCAGGTACGACCACCTGAATTATGCCAAGTGGGGGTCGGTATTTATCGCCGAGATGGAACAATTGCCGTATGAAGTGTTACAGGAGTTTAAGAAGGGTAACTTTGTTGTAAAGTGGAAAGAGGGCGCTTTCAATGAAGTAAGCGCTGACCACAGCCTCGAGTGGTTGAACGGCATTGGTAAACGAGGAGGTGGAATTGTTGGTATAACCAGGGCGAAGGGAGAGAGGGCGTAGAAACGGCCATACATCGAGCGGACCCATCCGTGATGCGGGCTTCGCGGGGGGTAAGACGTTCTAATTGTAAACAAATATGGCTACGCGTATATGACCCATCAGAAGGTATGCTGAAACTATTGCTTTATAAAATATTACTTGTGTAAAATTTATATGTTTTTGTTACTTTCAGCTACTATAAGAAACTTAAAGATAAGATTTAAGTAACAAAAAACTTTATTTCGGGTGTTATTTTATTTATATACTCTGTTTAATTTGGTGGTTAAAAATGGCCGTCGAAATGTTGTCCGAGAGTGTTAGCGCGCACTGCTTCCTGATAAAAAACCAATGATTTCCAAAACCTAAATTATAATTTGTTATTAAGTTATGATCAAAACCTTTGCGTATACAAAATTATAGAGTGAGCAAACATGAGACAGATAGGTTTTGAACCTTTCAAAGTTCGAGGTCGAATTGACAGTTGAAATAGTACCAAACTCCAAGCTGAAATGTGCAACTAAATCGTGTATATTTTTGTCAATTTTGCTCGCTGGCTTTGTTAAATTCACTTGCAATGGCTCGACATAAGTTACAACATACAAACTGAGCAGAGCCCATGAAAGAGCTATCCATACCCATACAGTCATTCAGCTTCCTTGCTATTTAGAAATTGTTGCCCATTATAGTTGAAGAAGAATTGCTATTGTATGCGCTTGTTTGCACTCCCTTTCCTAAAAAAAGTCTACAATATTAAGGCCAAATAGCAGAAAAATATGACCCAATAATCCATGCAATTAAAAATATCTATCAAATTAACTTCAAAAATCATGATTTGAGGAATTATATCTATTCAGGCAACCCATTATTTAGTGACAGGTCTTGGCAAGGTGAAAGCTGAAAGGAACCCTTAAGATGGGTGTACTACAAAACTATGTTGATTGAAGTTTTGGAAACATTTAACTAAATTTTGAAGGATTGACTTGCAAACTGTGATTCAGTATCATGGAATTTTACACTTCTGGAGAAGTTGTGGCTCTGTTAGTGCCATTTCTTTTATTGTTTATAATCTTTCTTTTGAGCATTGCTCGCTTATAAAATCTTTCAATTCCTTAGGGCCTGTTTATATGATCCCGCCTAGATGGGACGGGACATTTTCATCCCGCCAAGACAGGATACTCACCTAGTGTTTGTATATGGACAAAATACATTGCCGGGATGAAACCATTCGGTGCTTGACGTCATATTTTTGTTGCAATAAAGGCATTTACGCATGCCCAAAAGGGAAAAATTCATTCCGCCTAACCGGGATGAAGTGTTTATATGGGAATTTTTCATCCCGGCTAGGCGGGATGAAGTGTTTTTTATATGGGAATTTTTCATCTCGCTTAGGCAGGATCCCGGCTTCTGTTGCCGAAATCCAATCTAGGCGGGATAAGTGGCGGGATCGTATAAACACTCTTTAGCATTTGTATTACGAGCGGGATCTCGGTAAGCATCCCATCCCGCCTGGCCGGGATCATATAAACAGGCCCCTAATCTCATCCCATGATACTGAATCACAGTTTGTAAGGCCCCATTTACATGAGACCAGGAAGGAACCAACCTGGAATGAAAATTGAAATTGCATGTCAACATGTTTACATGAGACCAGTATGAAAATCACAAAATTTTCAATTTATTCCCCTTGCCAGGCAATTTTCTTTTTTAGATGACTTTCGTTAGCATGTGTTGTTCACTTGTTCCAATGTCAACATTCATTCCAGTCTGAATTCATACTGGTCTGACTCAGTCGGCTTGGTCCAGCAGGCGGAATGACTTGAGACCTCATGTAAACATCTATTATATATAATCTAAAGACCAATACGAAATGGTCCCGGTTAATTGACTTCGTTCCAGTCTCATGTGAACTGGACCTAATAAAATCCTTCAAAAGTTGGCTAAATTTTTCCAAAACTTCAGTCAATATAGTTTTGTAGTACAACAATTTCTAAATAGCAAGGAAGCTGAATGACTGTATGGGTATGGACTATGGATAGCTCTTTCATGGGCTCTGCTCAGTTTGTATGTTGTAACTTATGTCGAGCCATTGCAAGTGAATTCAACAAAGCCAGCGAACAAAATTGACAAAAATATACATGATTTAGTTGCACATTTCAGCTTGGAGTTTGGTACTATTTCAACTGTCAATTCGACCTCGAACTTTGAAAGGTTCAAAACCTATCTGTCTCATGTTTGCTCACTCTATAATTTTGTATACGCAAAGGTTTTCACCATAACTTAATAACAAATTATAATTTAGGTTTTGGAAATTATTGGGTTTTTATCAGGAAGCAGTGCGCGCTATAAATAAAATGACACCCGAAATAAAGTTTTTTGTTACTTAAATCTTATCTTTAAGTTTCTTATAGTAGCTGAAAGTAACAAAAACATATAAATTTTACACAAGTAATATTTTATAAAGCAATAGTTTCAGCATACCTTCTGATGGGTCATATACTCGTAGCCACATTTGTTTACAATTAGAACGTGTTACCCCCCGCAAAGTCCGCATCACGGATGGGTCCGCTCGATGGATGGCCGTTTCTACGCCCTCTCTCCTTCCGCCCTGTTCTGAGTGAAAGGAACCTTCTCCTCAGCGTGAGGAACCTTGTGCCCAGCGTGAGGGACCTTGTCCTCAGCGTGAGGAACCTGGTCCTCAGCATGAGGAACCTTGTTCTCAGCTTGAGGAACCTTGTCCTGAGCGTGAAGAACCTTGTCCTCAGCCTGAATAACCGTGTCCTCAGCGTGAAGAACCTTGTTCTCAGCATGAAGAACCTTGTCCTGAATAGTTTGTTTAATAAAAACATCATCTGGCAGTCAGGAGACTGAATTACATGACGTTAAGTGTTACAAGGTTATAAATAGTAAAAAATTCTATATTACAATGCAATTTAAAAATTGTTAATATATACTATATATCATATACTTAAATGTACTAATCTATATGAGTTAAAAATTCTAAAATGTTCAAGGAACATCTAATTTGTAATGTTTCTTAGCATAAAAGTTGATAAAAGAGTTTCCCAAACGATTTTTATCTTTCTTTTCGTAATTCTCTATTGCCTGCTTTGGATGGTAAAAGTTTGGCAAGTTTATGATCATCATTTAAAACAATGTCGTTGAAGAGATTATTGGATAGATACTCCCGTCTGTTTTCAAGAGTGGAAATACCAGCGATGTTAAGAGCCTCGTCGTAAGACAATTCATAGAATATTATTTTCATTGCTCGCTTCTGTATACGTTCAATGTTTTTTGCAAGATTTCGTGGCAGGGAACTATGGAATAATTGGCACGCATATTCGAGGACAGACCTTATACAGCTGCAAAAAAATTTGACCAAAGCTGCCGAAGCGACATCAGCACGTTTGAGTTGCCTCAACAAATATAAACGTTTAGCTGCTTTGGAGACAATTGAATTTACATGGTCTATCCATTTAAGGTCTTTTCTTAATATAACTCCAAGCGATTTGATACTTGTCACTCTTTCCAAATTTCGGTCACCAATACGTATAGGTTCAAAAACAGGTGGTAATCGTGAAAAGGATATTACCATTTCTTTGCATTTAAATGGGTTTAGTTGAAAGGAATTGTCCATAGACCAAGTAGTAATATCATCGATATCCATTTGTAAAGTACTTTGTTCGTTTTTTTCGACAATTTCAGAGACCGTAGTATCGTTGGCAAATTTCCACATTTCTGAAAGGTGATTATGTAACACAAGGTCATTTATCATGGCTAAGAATAGCCAAGGCCCAAGTCGTGTGCCTTGAGGGACACCAGCTGGAACTTGGAGCCAGTCTGAGAAACAATTATCACTTAGTTTGACCCTTTGCCATCTATTACGTAAAAAGTCAATAATCCAGTTAACCACACAGGGCTTAATGCCAAGGCTGAATAATTTCGCAACTAATGTGGTGTGATCCACCATGTCAAATGCTTTTTTATAGTCAAGAAATACAGTGCGAACAGATGAACCACTTCCATCTGTTGCACTCAACCAACAATGGAGCATCGATATCAAGGCAAGTACAGTGGAAGAATTTGGAATAAAGCCAAATTGTTGGGGATCAACAACCTTTAAAAGAGTTGGTTTTACTTCTCTTTCGATTACAAGACGTCCCACTATCTTTGATAGAGTGGAAGTTAAGGAAATAGGTCGTAATTCCCTTTCCAAGTCTTTGACAGTAGATGTTTTTGGTAAGGGGACCACATCGGCCAGCTTCCAAATTTGAGGGACTTTACAGCTTTGAAAGGAAGAATTGATTATATTTGCAACTGGTGAGGAGAGAATATCCGAATAGGTATTTAGAACCCAATTGGAAATACCGTCAGGGCCACTGGAACGCGATGTATTAATTTCTTGCAATTTTCTAGCTATAGTTGACTCGGTCACAATAATAGGCGTTTCATCGTTGTGTACAATTACAGCCGTATCTTCAGATAATGGAACATAGTTCTGTATCACATTTATAAAAACATTGTTAATTTTATTACTGAGGTTTATGTCTGTCTCCTGCCATAAATCTTGATGGAGGCGGTCTTTTACACTTTTGTTGTTTAGTTTAGATGTGCCACACAACTGCTTCACTTCCCGCCACCAATCTCGGGGGTTAGTGTTACGTAAATTATGAACTTTAGATTGATAATAGCTTTTACGACAACGTTTTCGTTCACGATTAACTTTATTACGTAACATTTTAAAAAGAGTGACATTACCAGATGCAAAGGCTTTTTGTCGACGATTTATCAGTGATTTCAGATTGCTATTAACCCATGGTCGATCATTAGGGTGGACTTTTATTGAACGTTCAGGCATAATTAAGTTCAAACCATAGTTTATAATGCTAGTTAAAAAGTATAGTTTTTGATCATTTGAGGGTATAGACAATAAAATGTCCCATGGAATTTCCTGGAGAAATCGACCAAGACTTCTAATATTACTGGGTCGCTTGTCTCTTGTTTTAACAATACGCGATTGTGGTTTGTGCGATCTTTTCCTCGTTCCAGGACACATGGCAATTGTTAGATGGTCTGATAAGCCAAATGGAGGAGCACTAGTAGGAGGTGAATAGTATTCAAATAGATTGGTATAAATTTGGTCAAGAATATTGGCACCTCTGGTGGGAAAATCAATTACTGGTTTTAGTTGAAAAGGTTTAACAGTAGCCTGTAAGTCCAATTTGTTGAAATCACCAGCAATAATGATTGCAGGGTTAGGAATTGAAGATTCAATATATTCTAATGAAGATTGGACATAGTCACGCATACTTGTACAATCAGCATCTGCAGGGTGGTACACAACAGCTATTATCATATTTGAGTAATTTCGTGGGAGTCGTTTTCGTTGTAAAGCTAGCCACAATACTTCGTGATTATCACTATCTAACTCCGTTAGGCGGTTGCAAGAAATGGTATTGTTAATATAAAAACAAACCCCACCATGGGATTTGGTTTGACGATCACGCCTGAATAATTGGTAATTTGTAATATTAATAGCTTCATCTGGAACGGATTCTTTTAACCATGTTTTGCTGAAAAGGGCAATATCTATATGATTCGAAGTAAGAAATACAGCAATTTCATCGATTTTCGGGGCTAGCGACATAGTGTTTGACAATAATATAGCAGGTACAAAATGCGACGAACAAGACACGGTTTTACTATTAACTTCGGGGTTCACAGATACATGAATTAAATTGCTTGACTTGATTCTCTTACGACAGATGAGGTTTGGGTTGACATTTTCCTGGTTATTATTATATAAACAATGTTCAAGTAAGCTTTCCAATTCACTTTCTATCCCGGAAGACGATTTACCCCCGGCCTCCTCTAATAATAATATTTGTAAAAGTTCATTTTGTCTCTCAACATTGTACGTGCACGAAAATCCTTTCCCGAATTTTTGTTACGTTTATTATGTTTCCTAGATGGTTTTCGCTTAGAGATGCGGGTTGGAATAGATTGATAATTATTCATAGGAGTTGTATCATCTGTAATAATTCCACTATTACTGGGATTAATTACTGTGAGATCTAGACAATGGGGACTACATTCATTATGTTGGCCATGGTAGTGTAAGTATCTTTTGTTAGTATTAGATTGACAAATCTCCACACATTCCTTCTCAATTCTTTGGCTAGTATTTAATTGATCCTGAATGCCTTGTGGATTGTGGTGCAGATCATGACATGGGTTCTTTAAAATTGGTGTATTATTTGAACAACTCTTAACATTTGACTTGGAATGACTAGGCAAATACTTTCCTACTAAGGTTTCGACTATACTGTCCGTATTATTCTGCTTTTCGATTATATTCTCCGTATTATTCTGCTCAGGTTCGTCCGAGAAATACAAGCAAGTAGGTGTAATCACAGACGCAATAGGGCTATTATAATTCGTACATTGTACAACACATTCAGCAGATGTATTATTGGGAGATTTACTTAGTTGATCCAACGGTATAGATTTTGCATCGGTTGTTGATGCTTCTAATTTCGCCAAGGTTTCCTGCAAACTAACAAGCGTATTTTCCTGTTGTTTCACTGTTGATTCCAAGATAATGACATCCAATTTAACGCCTTCGATATCAGAACTGACTTCAGGGCATTTACACATGTTATGAGACGAGCGAATATTATGGTCCTCAGAACCAATGTCATGCAAAATCAACATCAGAATTGAACGTTTAACTTCACTTACCTGTTTTCCCTCTATCCTAAGAAACTTCTTTTTAGCCCACCAATGGATATCAACGTTTTTGCTTTTAAACAACTTTTTCTCCCCACCGATCGATGACCAAGTTCCTTCGAAATTTAGTTCGCTATCAACAAACAATTTCAGCGATTCATAATCACCAGACCACGATAGTTTTAGTTCAGGATATCGATTTATCTTTGATGATTGAGTTTGATGTGTAGCTGTTGACATCGTATAGAACTAAATTGCACAGTTTATGATGTTCTCAACACAATAAGTACTTCTTGGTACGCTTTGTGGATTGTGAGAGATAGATCTAGATGTCGTAGTATTGTCGCAATATCACTGTACATACAAATACTCACATGTGAGGAACCTTGTCCTCGGCGGGAAGAACCTTGTCCTCAGCGTGAGGAACCTTGTCCTCTGCGTGAGGAAGCTCTTCCTCAGCATGAGGATCCTTGTCATCAGAATGAGGAACCTTGTCCTCAGCGTGAAGAACCTTGTCCTCAGCGTGAGGAACCTTGTCCTCTGCGTGAGGAAGCTCTTCCTCAGCATGAGGAACCTTGTCCTCAGCATTAGGAACCTTGGCCTCAGCGTGAAGAACCTTTTCCTCACCGTAAGGAACCTTGTCCTCAGCGTGAGAAACATCTTCCTCAGCATGAGGAACCTTGTCCCCAGCATGAGGAACCTTGTCCTCAGCGTGAAGAACCTTGTCCTCAGCGTGAGGAACCTTGTTCTCAGCGTGAGGAACCTTGTTCTGAGCGTGAGGAACATTGTCCTAAGCGTGACGAACCTTGTCCTCAGCGTGAAGAACCTTGTTCTCAGCGTGAGGATACTTGTTTTCAGGGTGAGGAACCATATTCTCAGCGTGAGGAAGTTTGTCCGCAGCGTGAGAAACCTTGTTCTGAGGGTGAGGAACCTTGTCCTCAGCGTGAAGAACCATGTCCTCAGCGTGAAGAACCTTGTCCTCAGCGTGAGGAACCTTGTCCTCAGCGTGAGGAACCTTGTCCTCAGGGGACGAACCTTGTCCTCAGCCTGCAGAACCTTGTCCTCATCGTGAAGAACCATGTTCTCATCGTGAAGAACCCTGTCCTCAGCGTGAAGAACCTTGTCCTCATCGAGAAGAAGCTTGTCCTCATCGTGAAGAACCTTGTCCTCTGCGTGAGGAACCTTGTCCTCGGCGCCAAGAACCTTGTTCTCAGTTGAGGAACCATGTCCTCAGCATGAACAACCTTATCCTCAGCGTGAGGAACCTTGTCCTCGGCGGGAAGAACCTTGTCCTTAGCGGGAAGAACATTGTCCTCATCGTAAGGAACCTTGTCCTCAGCGTGAGCAACCTTGTCCTCCACGTGAAGAACCTTGTCCTCAGCGTTAAGAGCCTTGTCCTCAGCGTGAAGAACCTTGTCCTCATCGTGAAGAACCTTGTCTTCATCGTGAAGTACCTTGTCCTCCGGGTGAGGAACCTTGTCCTCAGCGTGAGGAACCTTCTCCTCGGCGCCAAGAACCTTGTTCTCATTTGAGGAACCTTTTGGTCAGCATGAAGGACCTTGTCCTCAGCGTGAGGAACCTTGTCCTCGGCGGGAAGAACCTTGTCCTCAGCGAGAAGAACCTTGTTCTCAGCGTGAGGAACCTTGTCCTCAGTGTGAGCAATCTTATCATCAGGGTGAGGAACCTTAACGTCAGCGTGAGGAACCTTGTCCTCAGGGAGAGGAACCTTGTCCTCAGCGTGAGGACCTTGTCCTCAGCGTGAAGAACCTTGTCCTCCGCGTGGCGAACCTCGTCCTCATCGTGAAGTACCTTGTCCTCAGCGAGAGGTATCTTGTCCTCAGGGTGAAGACCTTGTCCTCAGCGTGGAGAACATTGTCCTCAGCGTGAGGAATCTTGTAATCAGCGTGAAGATCCTTATCGTCAGCGAGAGGAACCTTGTCCTCAGCGTGAGGAACCTTGTCCTCAGCGTGAAGCACCTTGTCCTCAGCGTGAGAAACCTTGTCCATCGTAAGAAACCTTGTCCTCAGCGTGAGGAACCTTGTCCTCCACGTGAAGAACCTTTTCCTCCGCGGGAAAAGCCTTGTTCTCGGCGCGAAGAACCTTGTCCTCATCGTCAAGAACCTTTTCCTCAGCGTGAAGAACCTTGTCCTCAGCGTGAAGGACCTTGTCCTCATCATGAAGAACCTTGTCCTCAGCGTGAAGAACGTTGTCCACAGCGTGAAGAAGCTTGTCCTCATCGTGAAGAAGCTTGTCCTCATCGCGAAGAACCTTGTCCCCAGGGTGAGGAAGCTTGTCCTCGGCGTGAGGAACCTTCTCCTCGGCGCCAAGAACCTTGTTTTCATTTGAGGAACCTTGTCCTCAGCATGAAGAACCTTGTCCTCAGCGTGAGGAACCTTGTCCTAGGCGGAAAGAACCTTGTCCTCAGCGTCAAGAACCTCTTTCTCAGCGTGAGGAACCTTGTCCTCAGCGTGAGGAACCTTGTCCTCAGCGTGAAGAACCTTGTCCTCAGCGTGAGGAACCTTGTCCTCAGCGTGAGGAACCTTGTCCTCAGCGTGAGGAAGCTCTTTCCTCAGCATGAGGAACCTTGTCATCAGGATGAGGAACCTTGTCCTCAGCATGAAGAACCTTGTCCTCAGCGTGGGGAACCTTGTCCTAGGCGGAAAGAACCTTGTCCTTAGCGTGAAGAACCTTTTTCTCAGCGTGAGAAACCTTGTCCTCCACGTGAAGAACCTTGTCCTCAACGTGAAGAACCTTGTCCCCAGCGTGAGCCACCTTGTCCTCACCGGGTACAAAACTGTTCTCAGCGTGAAGAACCTTGTCCTCATCGTGAAGAAACTTGTCTTCAGCGTGAAGAACCTTGTCATCAGCGTGAAAAACCTTGTCCTCATCGTGAAGAACCTTGTCTTCATCGTGAAAAACCTTGTCCTCAGGGTGAGGAACCTTGTCCTCAGCGTGAGGAACCTTGTCGTCGGCGCCAAGAACCTTGTTCTCAGTTGAGGAACCTTCTGCTCAGCATGAAGAACTTTGTCCTCAGCATGAGGAGCCTTGTCCTCAGCGTGAAGAACCTTGTCCTCAGCGTGAGGAACCTTGGCCTCAGCGTGAGGAAGCTCTTCCTCAGCATGAGGAACCTTGTCCTCAGCATGAGGAACCTTGTCCTCAGCATGAGGAACTTGTCCTCAGCGTGAGGATCCCTGGCCTCAGCGTGAAGGACATTGTCCTCAGCGTGAAGAACCTTGTTCTCAGCGTGAGGAACCTTGTCCTCAGCATGAGGAACCTTGTCCTCAGCATGAGGAGCCTTGTCCTCAGCGTGAAGAACCTTGTTCTCAACGTGAGGATCCTTGGCCTCGGCGTGAAGAACCTTGTCCTCAGCGAGAAGAACCTTTTTCTCAGCGTGAGGTACCTTCTCCTCAGTGTGAGAAATCTTATCATCAGCGTGAGGAACCTGATCGTCAGCGTGAGGAAACTTGTCCTCAGCGTGAGGAACCTTGTCCTCAGCGTGAAGAACCTTGTCCTCCGAGTGAGGAACCTCGTCCTATGCGTGAAGAACCTTGCCCTCAGCACGAGGAACCTTGTTCTCAGCGTGAGGTACCTTGTCCTCAGCGTGAAGAACCTATCCCCAGCGTGGAAAACATTGTCCTCAGTGTGCGGAATCTTATCATCAGCGTGAGGAACCTTATCGTCAGCGTCACGAACCTTGTCCTCAGCGTGAAGAACCTTGTCTCAGCGTGAGGAACCTTGTCCTCAGCGTGAGGCACCTTGTTCTCCACGTAAAGAATCTTGTCCTCAGCGTGAAGAGCCTTGTCCTCAATTTTAAGAACCTTGTCCTCATCGTGAAGAACCTTTTCCTCAGCGTGAACAACCTTGTCCTCAGCGTGAAGAACCTTGTCCTCGTCGTGAAGAACCTTGTCCTCAGCGGGAAGAACCTTGTCCTGAGCGTGAACAACCTTGTCCTCAGCGTGAAGAACATTGTCCTCGTCGTGAAGAACCTTGTCTTCAGCGGGAAGAACCTTGTCCTCAGATTGAAGAACTTAGTCCTCATCATGAAGAACCTTGTCCTCAGGGTGAAGAACCTTGTCCTCAGCGTGAGTAACATTCTCCTCGGCGCCAAGAACCTTGTCCTCATTTGAGGAAGCTTGTCCACAGCATGAAGAACCTTGTCCTGTGCGTGAGGAACCTTGTCCTCAGCGGAAAGGACCTTGCCCTCAGGGTGAAGAACCTTTTTCTCAGCGTGCAGAACCTTGTCCTCAGCGTGAGCAACCTCGTCCTCAGCGTGAAGAACCTTGTTCTCAGGGTGAGGAACCTTGTCCTCGGTGGGAAGAACCTTCTCCTCAGCGTGAAGAACCTTGTCCTCAGCGTGAGGAACCTTGTCCTCAGCGTGAGGAACCTTGTCCTCAGCGTGAGGAAGCTCTTTCCTCAGCATGAGGAACCTTGTCATCAGGATGAGGAACCTTGTCCTCAGCATGAAGAACCTTGTCCTCAGCGTGGGGAACCTTGTCCTAGGCGGAAAGAACCTTGTCCTCAGCGTGAAGAACCTTTTTCTCAGCGTGAGAAACCTTGTCCTCCACGTGAAGAACCTTGTCCTCAACGTGAAGAACCTTGTCCTCAGCGTGAGCCACCTTGTCCTCACCGGGTACAAAACTGTTCTCAGCGTGAAGAACCTTGTCCTCATCGTGAAGAAACTTGTCTTCAGCGTGAAGAACCTTGTCATCAGCGTGAAAAACCTTGTCCTCATCGTGAAGAACCTTGTCTTCATCGTGAAAAACCTTGTCCTCAGGGTGAGGAACCTTGTCCTCAGCGTGAGGAACCTTGTCGTCGGCGCCAAGAACCTTGTTCTCAGTTGAGGAACCTTCTGCTCAGCATGAAGAACTTTGTCCTCAGCATGAGGAGCCTTGTCCTCAGCGTGAAGAACCTTGTCCTCAGCGTGAGGAACCTTGGCCTCAGCGTGAGGAAGCTCTTCCTCAGCATGAGGAACCTTGTCCTCAGCATGAGGAACCTTGTCCTCAGCATGAGGAACTTGTCCTCAGCGTGAGGATCCCTGGCCTCAGCGTGAAGGACATTGTCCTCAGCGTGAAGAACCTTGTTCTCAGCGTGAGGAACCTTGTCCTCAGCATGAGGAACCTTGTCCTCAGCATGAGGAGCCTTGTCCTCAGCGTGAAGAACCTTGTTCTCAACGTGGATCCTTGGCCTCGGCGTGAAGAACCTTGTCCTCAGCGAGAAGAACCTTTTTCTCAGCGTGAGGTACCTTCTCCTCAGTGTGAGAAATCTTATCATCAGCGTGAGGAACCTGATCGTCAGCGTGAGGAACCTTGTCCTCAGCGTGAGGAACCTTGTCCTCAGCGTGAAGAACCTTGTCCTCCGAGTGAGGAACCTCGTCCTATGCGTGAAGAACCTTGCCCTCAGCGCGAGGAACCTTGTTCTCAGCGTGAGGTACCTTGTCCTCAGCGTGAAGAACCTATCCCCAGCGTGGAAAACATTGTCCTCAGTGTGCGGAATCTTATCATCAGCGTGAGGAACCTTATCGTCAGCGTCACGAACCTTGTCCTCAGCGTGAAGAACCTTGTCTCAGCGTGAGGAACCTTGTCCTCAGCGTGAGGCACCTTGTTCTCCACGTGAAGAATCTTGTCCTCAGCGTGAAGAGCCTTGTCCTCAATTTTAAGAACCTTGTCCTCATCGTGAAGAACCTTTTCCTCAGCGTGAACAACCTTGTCCTCAGCGTGAAGAACCTTGTCCTCGTCGTGAAGAACCTTGTCCTCAGCGGGAAGAACCTTGTCCTGAGCGTGAACAACCTTGTCCTCAGCGTGAAGAACATTGTCCTCGTCGTGAAGAACCTTGTCTTCAGCGGGAAGAACCTTGTCCTCAGATTGAAGAACTTAGTCCTCATCATGAAGAACCTTGTCCTCAGGGTGAAGAACCTTGTCCTCAGCGTGAGTAACATTCTCCTCGGCGCCAAGAACCTTGTCCTCATTTGAGGAAGCTTGTCCACAGCATGAAGAACCTTGTCCTGTGCGTGAGGAACCTTGTCCTCAGCGGAAAGGACCTTGCCCTCAGGGTGAAGAACCTTTTTCTCAGCGTGCAGAACCTTGTCCTCAGCGTGAGCAACCTCGTCCTCAGCGTGAAGAACCTTGTTCTCAGGGTGAGGAACCTTGTCCTCGGTGGGAAGAACCTTCTCCTCAGCGTGAAGAACCTTGTCCTCAGCGTGAGGAACCTTGTCCTCAGCGTGAGGAACCTTGTCCTCAGCGTGAGGAAGCTCTTTCCTCAGCATGAGGAACCTTGTCATCAGGATGAGGAACCTTGTCCTCAGCATGAAGAACCTTGTCCTCAGCGTGGGGAACCTTGTCCTAGGCGGAAAGAACCTTGTCCTCAGCGTGAAGAACCTTTTTCTCAGCGTGAGAAACCTTGTCCTCCACGTGAAGAACCTTGTCCTCAACGTGAAGAACCTTGTCCCCAGCGTGAGCCACCTTGTCCTCACCGGGTACAAAACTGTTCTCAGCGTGAAGAACCTTGTCCTCATCGTGAAGAAACTTGTCTTCAGCGTGAAGAACCTTGTCTTCAGCGTGAAAAACCTTGTCCTCATCGTGAAGAACCTTGTCTTCATCGTGAAAAACCTTGTCCTCAGGGTGAGGAACCTGGTCGTAAGTGTGAGGAACCTTGTCGTCGGCGCCAAGAACCTTGTTCTCAGTTGAGGAACCTTGTGCTCAGCATGAAGAACCTTGTCCTCAGCATGAGGAACCTTGTCCTCAGCGTGAAGAACCTTGTCTTCAGCGTGAGGAACCTTGGCGTCAGCGTGAGGAAGCTCTTCCTCAGCATGAGGAACCTTGTCCTCAGCATGAGGAACCTTGTCCTCAGCATGAGGAACCTTGTCCTCAGCGTGAAGAACCTTGTCCTCAGCGTGAGGATCCCTGGCCTCAGCGTAAAGAACCTTGCCCTGAGCGTAAAGAACCTTGTTCTCAGCGTGAGGAACCTTGTCCTCAGCGTGAGGAACCTTGTCCTCGCCGCGAGGAACCTTGTCCTCGGCGTGAGGAACCTTGTTCGCGGCGTGAGGAATCTTGTCCTCAGCGGCAAGAACCTCTTCCTCAGCGTGAGGAACCTTGTCCAAAGCGTGAGGAACCTTGTACTCAGCGTGAGGAACCTTGTCCTCAGCTTGAGGAACCTTGTCCTCGGCGCGAGGAACCTTGTCCTCAGCGTCACGAACCTTGTCCTCGGCGTGAAGAGCCTTGTCCTCAGCGTGAGGAATGTTGTCCGCGGTGTGAGGAACCTTGTGCCCAGCGTGAGGACCTTCTCCTCAGCGTGAGGAAGCTGGTCGTCAGCGTGATGAACCTTGTCCTCAGCGTGAGGAACCTTGTCCTCGGCGTGAGGAACCTTGTCCTCTGCGGCAAGAACCTTTTCCTCAGCGTGAGGAACCTTGTCCTCAGCTTGAGGAACCTTGTACTCAGCCTGAGGAACCTTGTTCTCAGCGTGAGGAACCTTGTCCTCAGCGCGAGGAACGTTCTTCTCGGCGTGAGGAACCTTGTCCTCGGCGTGATGAATGTTGTCCTGAGCGTAAAGAAACTTGTCCTCAGCGTGAGGAACCTTGTCCTCAGCGCAAGGAACATTGTCCTCAGCGTTAAGAACCTTGTCCTCAGCGTGAGGAATCTTATCATCAGCGTGAGGAACCTTATCGTCAGCGTGAGGAACCTTGTCCTGAGCGTGAGGAACCTTGTCTTCAGCGTGAGAAACCTTGTCCTCAGCGTGAAGAACCTTGCCCACAGCCTGAGGAACCTTGTCCTCAGCGTGAGGAATCTTGTCCTCAGAGTGAAGAACCTTGTCCTCAGGGTGAAGAACCTATCCCCAGCGTGAGGAACCTTTTACCCGGGGGGGAAGATCCTTGTCCTCAGCGTGAAGAACCTTCTCCTCAGCGTTAGGAACCCATCTTATTAGCGCAGTCATGGAGAACGGACGTGTAGACTTGAGCTCTGAAGAATTGGCCGAATCTTTATTAAGTTTTGTGGAAAATGATGATTCTAGTCATTGTGAATTGAATGTAGAAAGCTCCTTAAATGCTGTAAACAGTTTGTACTGCTATTTCTGCTATAAGAAGAATAAGCTTAAATGGGCTGGTTCGTTGGAAGATCTGAAAGCCGTCGTGCTTACGGTAGTGGACGAACAAACAGCTGAAACTACAACCTGGCGATCGCCTAGCGGTGGTACGTGGAAATTCGACAGTAACGCACTGTGTGTTACCTGGCAAACAAAGAGTCAGAATATTTATTTTGAGGGCAAAAACGGCAAAGAAGTGACCAAAAGGATAATTTCGCACTTAAACCAAGGCGTGCACGCTTCGTTGAAAGCTTATTCTCTCGAAGGTAAAGCTACCGAAACAGAGCCTAGAGTGACTGATCTTATATCGGACAGTTGTTGCCAAAATTACAAGGAATTGAACGAAGACTGCAGGGAAATTACTATAGAGAATTTAGATGTCGTGAATGAAAACGCTGATATCTCTTCTGTTGAATACCGTGGGAAAACCGATGAAACTATGGCATCCACTCGCTGCATAAACACAAGTTCACAGGTAATCGTTAATAAATCCTCTGGTGCCCTCCATAACGAGGTAAGCGAAATTAAATTTAATTGGATCAACACGTTCACGAAACAAGAACGGAATTCCAACAAATTAAAGAGAACTTCGATTATCAACTTGATCAGCTAAGGAAATCATATAGCTTGCCCGGAAAAAAAGATGCAAAGTGTTGTCGGACTAGTTCAGACAAAAACGCTAGACTAAGACAAGAAAATGCTCAGCTTAAGGAGGAAAATAACACCCTGAAGGAGAAATTTAACAATTACTCCCTCGATTACTCCTGTACTATATCGGACTTAAAAACCAAAATAGAAAATAGTGAAAACGAAAAACTGAGTTTGATCACGGCTATAAAACTGCTACAAGATGACAATAATTCTAGATCAGCGAATAATAAACAGTCAACATGTAGTACTTGGCAAGTTCACTCTAAACCAAGTTCACGCAAAATTCCTGCTACTCACGTACAAAACAAACCGTTTACCCCCACTGTGATAAATAATCAACCACGGGAAGTAACAACGTCAGAAAATAGATTCGAACTATTATCGCATACTATAGATAACGACGAAAAATTCAACACCGTTGAAAGTTCAAATGAGTCTAACACTCCGTCGGTAATAAAGCAAAATTGCCCAAGGGAGGATCTTAGTAAACGTAGCAATCAACAAAGGGGTAATCAATCAACCAAACCCAACAAGGATAAAGTTTAAGGATAGAAATCGCCCAGATAATAACACAGGTGAAAAGTCTGGTAAACTCGCATTTATTGCAGGGGACTCTATTCTGCAACATGTGCATGGCTGGGAATTGTCCAGCGACGAACAACGTGTGTCAGTAAAAGCCTTCTCAGGAAGTAGAGTAGAAGACATGCAGGACTATATTAAACCCCTGATACGCAAAAAGCCTGACACAATGATATTGCACGTTGGTACTAATGACATTAAAGACGACACCAAGTCAGCAGAGGTAGTTGCAGCGGGAATATTAAATTTAGGTAATCAAATTAAGGATAATTTACCACGCACTACAGTATGCATATCAAGCATAACTGTCAGGAAAGACAAAGCCACCATTCAAAACAAGATAAAAGCTGTAAATGATATTCTTGGGCGTGTTTGCGGCTTAAATAATTGGACTTATATAGACAATAGTAATATAGACTATACTTGCTTGAATAGACGTGGGCTACTCCTAAACAAAAAGGGTAGCAGTATTATTAGTAAAAATTATAATAACTATTTCAATCATATTAATTGAAACACAGCCCGGCCAGGTGTTGATAAATGGGCATCATCAAACCCAAACGTTCCAAACTTTAAAGGTTTCAAAATGAGTATGCTAAATATAGCCAGTTTACCTAAGCATATTAATGAAATAAGAATATTACTGGCCGATCAATGTCTCGATATACTTGCTTTGAATGAGACAAGATTGGATGAAAATATTAGTAACCAGGATATGCATATAGATAACTATGATTTAATTAGGTTTGATCGTTCTAGAAAAGGGGGAGGCGTCTGTATATATGCTAAAAATTCTCTTAACTTTTCCGAACGAAAAGACTTGACTAGAGATAATCTTGAGGCTGTTTTTATCGAAATTCATAAACCTTCTAGTGCATCCTTTATTGTTGGAACTATATACAGACCTCCAAGTGCTTCGGTTGACTCATTTGTCGCAATTGAAAAATTAGTGCAATTAATAGATGACGAGAATAAGGAATTCTATTTACTTGGCGATTTAAATGCCAACATGCTTGACATTTCGAATAATGCCACAAAAGAACTAGTTTCAATAATGGAACAATATCAATTAACTCAAACAATTAGTGCACCCACTCGTGAGACCACGACTTCATCCTCTTTGTTAGATGTTTGTCTCACTTCTACTCCAGAAAAGTTAATTACATCTAGGGTAGTGCCGATTACAATTAGTGACCATTATATGATTGTCATTGTTCGTAAAATAAATACTTACTGTAAACAAAAACGCCACAAGAAAGTTGAATTTCGAAACTTAAAAAATTTTAATGTCGATAATTTCCAAGCCGACCTGTATAGTCAGGATTGGGAATTATTAGATAACCAAGCATGCGTTGATAAGATGTGGGATATATGGAAAACACTCTTTATGACAGTGCTCGACAAACATGCTCCAAATAAAGAGAAAAGAGTGAAAGATAAACCCAGTGTCCCTTGGCTAACCACTACAATTAAAAAACAAATTAGAGAACGAGATCGTCTAAAACTTCTTGCAATAAAACACAAATCGGAAAATTACTGGGATGCTTATAAATCGTCTAGAAATCGCATAACAGATGCTTTGCGAGAAGCTAAAACAGCTTATTATAAAGTACAATTTGATAAAGTAAAACATGATCCAAAACAAGCTTGGAAAACTGTTAATAAAATCCTAAATCGAAAGCAAAAATGTCCAGATATAAACTCTGTCAAAACTCAGAATGGAGAGATAACCGATCCAAATGAGTTAGCGGAAAGCTTCAATGATTATTTTACTAATATTGGCCCAGATATTGCAAAAACGATCGATATAAAAGGTGACAGAAATTTCACGGATTACATAACTAGAGTAACTAGCAATTTTAAGTTCCAAGCTGTATCTGAATCGAAAGTTCATAGACTTCTTTTGTCTCTAAATCCCGGTAAATCTACCGGTATTGACAAAATTCCAACCAAAATTATTCGTATTGCTTCCCCAGTAATTGCAAATTCCTTGGCAAAAATTTTTAATAGGGCAATCACCAGTGAATCCGTTCCATCTGAATGGAAAGCAGCGAGAGTTACACCTTTACATAAAAAGGCCCTCGAAACCTGTTAAATAATTATCGCCCTATATCCATTCTTCCTGTCGTAAGTAAAGTTTTCGAAAAAGTATTATACGAACAGTTACACGATTATCTTGTTACAAATAACTTACTATCCCAACATCAATTCGGTTTTAGACGTAGTCACTCAACAGCATCCGCCCTTTTAGATAGCACAAATGAATGGTTTGTTAATATGGATTGTGGCTTTTTTAATATTGCAGTCTTTCTCGACTTGCAAAAGGCATTCGACACTATTAACCACGTTGTATTATTGAAAAAACTTGATTTTTATGGTTTAGAAACATCAGCTTTAAACCTCTTAAAATCGTATCTAGAAAACAGAACTCAAATGTGCTCTGTTAATGGCACACCTTCTCGTAAAAAATGAATTACATGTGGAGTCCCTCAAGGCTCAATTCTTGGGCCGCTCCTATTTTTGGTTTATATTAATGATTTGCCAAACAGTTTGGAGTATTCGTCAACAAGAATGTTTGCCGATGATACGACATTAACTGCATCTGGTAAATCAGTTGCTGATGTAGAAATGGCCATTAATTATGATCTTGCTAACGTAAAGCGGTGGCTATCTGCAAACAAACTATCCCTAAATCTTGTTAAAACTGAATATCTACTAATTGGATCTCGGCATAACGTCAACAATCTAGCCCTTGTTCCAAATGTGTTCGTTGACGATGTACAAATTAAAAGAGTGAGAGAAACAAAAGCACTTGGAGTATGTATTGATAAATTTTTGTCATGGAATAAGCATATTGACAAAATTGCTATGAAGGTTTCATCCGGAATTGGAGCGATCAGAAGACTCAAACTCTGTGTGGACCATAATACATTAATATGTGCTTATAACGCACTTATATTGCCCCACTTCGACTACTGCTGCGAAGTTTGGGATACTATTGGTATCACACTCTCTGATCGCCTCCAAAAATTACAAAATAGGGCTGCTAGAGTAATTACGGGTCGTAAAAACGAACACGGCCAATCTGAACTTGCTTTAAATGAACTAAACTGGAAAACATTGAAAGAACGCAGAACTCAATTTGTAGCAAGTCTCATGTACAAAATAACCCACGATCTAGCGCCCAAACAACTAATTGATATGTTTCAAAAGACGCCTTCGTCTCAACATTATAACTTACGAGGTTATGCCACAAATCTCTACCTGCCCAAACCTATAAGACCGAATATCTTAAAAAAGGTCTTAGTTATAGAGGAGCAAAATTGTGGAATGGCCTCCCAGATAGACTAAGAAATAAATGTTCTCTTAGTCAATTTAACTTAAGTGTGCGGCACCTGGCCAGTTAGATAATGAGTTTATGAAATTTTATTTATTTGACCATAGTAGAGTAATTATAATTGTATAATTGTATTGTAATGTGTAAGTCTTGTATATATATTTATCCTAATTGAGTGTAACGTTTGTATTTTTAAACCTACGCCCCTCTTGGAAATCAGCTTTTGCTGTAGGGGTTAGCGTAGACAAATAAAGTTTTTACTTACTTACTTACTTACTTACTAGATTGAGATCAGTTTTTCTTATCTGCGCGTGCGCATTACGTGTTTTGTGCTCAAGCGCATGCGTATTTGCAACACAACAATGGCGGTTCATGGATTCCGAAACACGAGGAAGCGTGAACTTTGAAGAGCTTATACCTCAATTTGTGCAACTATTTCGCTTGGGGGGAAGTGGATTCTAACTAAGTAAGTTATAATCTATAGATTCATGTAAAAATTATGTAGTTACACGAGGGGTGCTACGGAATTGAACATTTTCGACCCTCATCCAACGGCCTAATGTAGTTTATCAATTTTCCTAGAAAAAGTCAGAAAAATGCAGATCAATGCATATATATATATATATATATATATATATATATATATATATATATATATATATATATATATATATATATATATATATATATATATATATATATATATAACAATTCAAGTCTTCTTGATATAATATGTTTTGTACTTTATTTAAATAATTAAATATATATATATATATATGCATTCCTTGTAATTTTAGGGAATCCCCTATATTTAAGAAAATTTCTATCACTACATGTTTGACCTTGAATTCCCTTGAAACTGTTGAAAGGAAGTTGACAGCCCCCGCAGTCCCCGTAGCATATATAAGGACAGATCTGATCACCATCGCTTAACTACAAGCAAAGTATTGAAAGAGTCAAGATGGAGAAACTGGGAATTCAATGTGATTTGGTGACACAAGGTATGTATAATTACGTTGCAATTGTCTATAATTATATTAGTAATACAATTATGTAAAGTCCGTGCATTTATATACATTTCTAGAAAGAGTCATACACAACGCATATATCTCAGTTGCTGCATGTATAAATAGTTAATAGAATAGATGGTTTCGAAACTAATCAGAATAACAACATAACTCATGATCTATGTTAGTCAACGTTTATTTCATAAACATGGTCCTTCACTTTCACGTGTGTATTGTATTCTTGTCAAATCCACAAAATTAGTAGCAATGTCAATTTGCCCAATTATTTGAGTCACGGATATACGTAACTTTCCTAAGACGTTGCTTTTGGTTAGTTGAGCAAAAATACAATAAGCACGTGACAGTGAACGACCAGATTTATGAACAAACGTTTACTAACATATCTATTCTATTAACAATAGTGTATAAAGTACTAAAGAGCCAAGTCTATAATATATGGAGAGTTTGGAGAGACTGGCGCTCTCATACACAATTTTTCAGAAATTCGGTTATCAGGTCTAGTTCAGAAGACCAATTTATAAAAACTAACCTCTAATTGCTAAAGGTTTTAAGAATCTTTCAACAATAATGAAACTATTGTGTTCCTTTAAATAGCGCACAGTTATTTTTGACTATTGCGAGCGGTCAGGCAATTATATACTAAATATTTTATTTCATATATCATAAAATGGAAAGTGCCATTCCTCTAATTAGTTGAAAGTTTATCGCTATATATGATCAAACGGGAATGAGGGTTGCGCATTGTTGCACGGAATATTTCAAACTCTGGATTAATAAAATAAGAATTTGATAAGTGTTCCAATAATTTTTCATTCACTTAGATACAATACATGATTGGGTTAGGAAAGCGGCTGACCAATATCACGTGACTGCCAACTCTCATGCTTTCTCGTCCTCGTTTGATCCGGCCTAAAGGGTTAGCAGATTTAAAACAAAAGACAAAATATCAAAGAAACATTTAAGAAAGCAGCCAGGAATATTTTGAAACATCTTAACACATATTGATGAAAAAAAAAGAAAAGATTTCTTCAAATATAAAAAAGGACAGATCATTATTTCGACGAATTGAACGCGCACAGGAACACATGTCTTTTTTATCTTTCATGTAAGACAAATGGTTATGTAATCACTACAAAAGAAGGTGCTTGGCGAAATTCGAATGCTGCAATAAATACTGGCCTTGCCACTGTTGCCATAATAAGGACAGTAAATGTAGACGTAGTGAGCTGAGATCACGTGATACATCAATGGTCAAGTGTGTCGAATGCGGGAAAGAACAACAGGTAAACAAGATGTAAGAGTTGCTTGCAGAATTTTTATTCTTTTAATACAACACTGTTGTAGAAATTCTCTAAACAGAATCATTGAATAAAGAGAAAAAAGTTTTTTGAATTGTAAATATGCAGGAACTAAAATACCTTGTAGAATTTCTCTAAACAGAATCATTGAATAAAGAGAAAAAAGTTTTTTGAGTTGTAAATATGCAGGAACTAAAATACCTTTAATTCTTCTATGTTAGCTAAATAATTAAATACTCATATCCTGCAAATTTTATTGCAAACAAATAAAAGGTAGTATTTTGGGGATTTTTATCGGCTATATGGATTTTTGGACGACTTCCTAAGTTTCGATCTTTTTCGCATTATCTCTAGTTTGGAAAAAATGGTCGGTTTTGTGTTGCATGTAACACTCAATTCGCAGATTACTACTGTGGTCTGTGCAAACATCTTATTGGAAATGATAATCACCCCTATCATTGCGATAAATGTGGAATTTGCAGGTACGAATTTAACGTAAAATTAAACAGCGCACGCTTTTTATGAAAAGTGTAGGAAAAAACAGAAAATGTAGCGATTATTTTTACTGTACAATCTTATCAAACGTTTAATTTCCAGGTTTCATGGTTATCGCTCGTTTCATTGTGATGTATGTGGTATTTGTCTTGATGTTCAACTTCGTGGAAATCATAAATGTCTTCCTGATTCCGCCCATGATGAATGTAGCATCTGTTTGAAGGTAAATCATTAAAGTAGTAGTGGATGAGGTCTTATTGATATCCAGAATTATCAACTGAAGGAACTGCATTTTCATTAATTAATAACACTTTCGCGAAATGAAACAATGATTTGTCGTGCAAAACAACGATTGGTTCTTATAAATAACTGTGAAAACGACTTTAAATTAATATGATAACATAAATATTTTAGAAATCTCGTTTACCTACTATAAAGTTACGATAATAATGCAAGGAAGGTCTGCTTTTTGCTCGAAAGACATTTACAAAAACGCCGTTCTTTCAAGTTGTTTTTCCTGTTTTTATTTCTGAATTTAAAATTACCTTTTGCTATAAAATTACATTCAGCGGATTCAACCAACACATAACTAAGTTATGTGTATGTAGGTTGCGTGACTTCCATATTTAGCTGCAAGCTACTTAGCAATCAAGAGACACCTATTGACTACAATATATAAAAATTAACACGCATAAATTAGACGTCGACGTTTCAAGTTCTTTGACGCAATTTTGTGGTCGGTTTAATCCAGTAATCCCCCAGCGTCCTTGTGAAATGCTTTTAAAATTATAATTCGTTTTTGATTTTCTGCAGGACTTATTCATAGGCTGCAAGATTCTACCATGTTTCCACAAAGTTCACAAAGATTGCGTCACTCGGATGATTCGGAATGGAATGTGAGTTCACTTATCGTTTAAAATATTTCCATTTACTAGAAATAACGTGCATGCAGAAACCCCTCGCCTTCGGTTAGCAAAATAACTATATTTTCCAAACATGAAGTATTTGAAGTGGCTGTGATGGAAACACGCTTATTTCATTCTCTATCTTTTGAAGATTGAAAAAAAAACCAATAAATGTCAGGCTCAATTTAATGTAAATAAAATTAATTAAATAAAATGTTCTAAAAACTAAACTGCATGCCTTTGATTTGAAAATAAAATTATTTCAAATTCTCGCATGAAAATAACTTTTGTTCTAGCCTGCGAACAGGCTCTTTGAATTGAATTAGAGCCTGCCGGTTTAGTCAATAAAAATGCGTCTGTGCCCATCACTATTTATAGTGTTGTCAATCGAATGTAAAATACAATGTGACAAATTAATACAGACACGCCTTATGTAATAGCCTGCGAATGTATATGTAAACAAAACGCATATCTTGATTTCAGCGCATGATTTTTTACATTAAAAGCACTTGTCTTTCTTAAACAACCCTGAAATTTCCTGAAGTAGCAATAGTAAGTGAATTCACATAAACACCACAACGACTTGAGTTTGAACAACTACGGCGTACTAGAATGCTCAAGAATGCAAAATATAGTCGCCTTTGTCTTAGAGTAAAGATGCTATTGTTGATATAAGAAACGGTTGCCGTTGTATATACTGAAGAGCTTTTCACTGTCTATCCTTTAACTTTAAACAAAGATTTAGTTTTCTATACAACTCGTCGCTATAGAACGATATTTTTCGATTTGAATCTATTGTTGTGTAAATTTAATTACCTTTTATGGCAGTATAATGTAGTTAGATAGATAGATATAGATAGATTGTTAGATATATAGATAGATAGATTCAACCAATGGGATCCCTGCGTCGTTCTAAGCAACGTACAGACGCGTTCAAAGAGAGCCTGTTCGCAGGCTACTTTTGTTCCTTTCCTTCTTATTTAAAGATTTTATAATGTAATAAAAAAATAATTAATAATAATACTTATCCTTTTTCATCATATGCAACATCATAAAGCAATTATAAAGCAAACAATACATAAATATTTAATTAAAACAAACTTACCTTAGGTTTTGCGATTTCGGGCAATCTATTGCCACTGATTTTTTTGTGATGAAGCAAAAACAAAAACTATTTAATGGCTGCTCGTCACATTAAAGATTTTTTGGGTTACTAGCTGAATAATGTTTTTGACTTTTTCCCTGCAAATTCCCCTGTTTCCACTCCTGAAACTCGCCATGGTTTAGAGATCAGTAGGAGGTCGCCTAATAACACCATGGCACCATGAGACAAAGCCACGCACACGCGATCATTGAAAAACGTTAGACTTCGCTAATGCTTTCCTTTTCCCGAGTGTAAAAAGCCGAGCGGAATTAGTCAACATGAGCTCCACCTTTGAATTTACTATGTATGAGTAAATTCTTAAACACGTGCGAATTTATCATTATGATAAATTCGCGGCACATTTTGAATTTATCAATAGAGTTAATCATAAAACCACAAGCATTAGACACGCTCGCGCCGGGGTGGGGAGATTTTCAAGATTTTCAAAAAAAAAGTTTTTGAAAAAGTTTTAAAAATGTTTAAAAAAGAAAAAAAAGTTTAGCTGAAAAGTTAGATCTTCAAAAAAGTTAAAAAAGTTAGGGGTTAGTGGTTAGTGGTTAGGATTAGGGTTACTTTGGGTTTGGGATTGGGTTTGGGTTGGGGTTAGGGTTAGTGTTAGGGGTTAGGTGCCGCGAATTTATCATTATGATAAATTCAAAGTGTGCCGCGAATTTATCATAATGATAAATTCAGACGTGTGTAAGAATTTACTCATATAGTAAATTCAAAGGTGGAGCTCATGCTGGAATTAGTACGCTCGGCACGAGCTTATACGTCCGGAAAGGCGCTTCGTGGCCGGTTGGCTCTGGGATAATTTCCACAGCACCAATTCTCCAATTAATGGATGGAGATAGATTAAAAAGAGCAGTGCTGTTTCCTACCAAAGTAAATTATAGATTGAAGTTAAATAGATCAGAAGTATTTTTTTATTCAGCTTCGTCAGAATGGTATTTAAAAAGATGTCTATGTAATGTTTTGTACAAGGTTTACAGCTAGCAGAGGTTTCTTATTCCCCTCAAAAACATCTGGTCGCAACTAGTTAATTTAAGTACTAGAAATACATGCATGCAGCAACCCCTCGCCAAAATTTTCCGAACATTGAATTAGCATGAAGTATTGGGAATGGCCAACACTGAACGCAGGCTCTCGTTCAAGTGTTGCCGTGACAACACGATATTTTTAAATTTTCAATTTTTTTATATTTTTTGTACAAAAGTCAAAACGGCAAAATAGTTGAAAGATTAGTACTTTTCACTATACAACAATGAATTTCCGAAATATATACTGCAGGTATATGTTATTTTGCATTTAATCAAACAGCCGGGGGGAATTAGTACCCTCGCACGGCGCTTCGTGCCGTCGGCTCGGGGACAAGTCTAGTATTATTAAGGTCTGTTTACAATAATAATCCCCGAGCCACGCGCGGAGCGCCTAGGGCGAAGCCCGTGGCGAGTGTACTAATTCCGCTCGGCTATTTACACCCGGGAAAAGGAAAGTATTAGCGAAGTCTAAAGTTCATCAATGCTCGCGAGCTCATGCATGGCTATGCATGGGTGGTCACCTCACTGATCTCAAAAATATAGCTGTTTCATGTTTGCCAGGAGTGAAGCAAGCAACTAATTAAAAATCCATACATGCAGAAAGCTATGGACATCTTTTCACACAATAAGTTGCAAATCACCTCTTTCGAATCTTAAAGAAAATATGAGAAATCCTGAAGTATAGGGTAAGTTTGTTTTTTCTGTTTATGTATGACTTTGCTGTCCAATTTTCGGACTTCTCACCTGAAGGTCTTGAGGCTTGAACATGTACAGCTTTCCTTTTCATTCTATGCGAAAGTTTCTTTGAATTAACCGGTTTTTATTTTTTATAAAAGTTCAAAAAAGGAGATAATTATTTTCAAGCGCGACCTCTATGATTTAAATTTATTTCATTTCAAAGTACGAGTAATAAGTTGAAGAGTTTATCGGAAAAAAACAGTTAATTTCAATGAACATTAAGAAATGTTTTACGAAGCGTTTCATGTTGAATTTTACAGTATAACAAAGCTCATAGAAAGCAAAATAACATACCCACTTCCTATATGTTAGAAATCGATAGTTCTGTAGTTAAAAGTGTAAAACATTCATTTATATTTGCCGTTTTGAACAAAATTTTAAGAAACACAATTATCGTGTTGCCATGGCTATCATGACGCGAGCCTGCATTCCGTGTTGGAGTAACTAGAGTACTTCATGTTGAAACAATGTTTGGAAAATGTGGGAGAGGGGTTGTTGCATGCATGTATTTCTAGCTAGTAGCCTACATAGTAGGAAAGAGGTGAAAGCAGAATACAACAAAAATATGCTATAGTACAAAATCGGAAACATGATAAAATGTTCATGGTATTATATCAATGTGAAAACAACGTGAAACTCGTGCAAGACTATTGTGAGAAATTATTAAAAAAAACAAATATAAAACTCGTCAGAATGTAAAGAAATTATTTCTGTAACATTATAATTATAAATTTCCAAATTTCGATCTTTTTTCGAACTTTTTATGCTTCTATTTCGGTAATCTCATGTTTGGCTCGCTTTTCTCGGATTATTGAAACCTCACGCGAGTTTCTTTACTCTTTCGACCAATGAGATTCGCCATAGCCTTCGTACATTGCATCCATGCAGCGTCGTCGCTCGAGTTTATAATGTTAACTGAACTGAGTGGAATGCGATTTGGACTGAAATGAAACGGGTGATTACAAAATCGCACGACCGCGAAGCGGGAGTGCGATTTGTAATCACATGTTTGATTTCAATCCAAAAATTGCACGACGCGAAGTTCAATTTCCACTTTATTATATTCATTTTGAAATCTTAAATATTTTTTTAAACCGGAAACGTTTTTGTTTGCAAAAGGCACGCCTCCGGTACCTACCTGAGTGCTGGAGCATAGCAACAATAAGCGAACAAGATTTGTTAAAATGCATTTTTTTATACGTTCAAAATACTGCAAAAATGTTAAAGAAATGAAGACATTGGTAATAAATAGGAGACAACTCAAGTAAGTTTAAATATATTGTAGGTTTTACGAGTGATTTCAAAGAGATTTGGTGCAGTTTTGTGCGTTTAGAATTGGAAATACGATAGGTGAATTTTCCTTTGTGTTCCCTGACGCTTTAAATTTGCTTTTGTTGGCATTTTTGCCTGCATGTTACTATTTGTGAGATTTTATTTAAACAGATTTAAAATTCTTTCCAATTCTTTGATTAAAGCAGGAAGCTAGCCATATTTTTTTTGTTTTTATGCAAAAAATTGCTTAGACACTCAAGAGTAATCATGACATATGTAATTTTTTTTGTTTTTGCTCATTTTCCATATCACAATTTTCTTAAAATTGATTGGCTGTTTGCATGAATCCTATGATTAAATATGATTGGTTGGCTGAAGTCAGCACTCTAATGTGAATGGTTGAAAGAAGGCGCGATTTCAGCACTAATCACACTGCCATGCAGGAGTGAGATTCGTGCTAAAATCGCATTCCTGTGAACCAATCAGATTGCAGGAAACACCATTGATTTCAAAATGAATATATTAAAACATCATGAAATTTATCGCTCGAAATTTATCGCTTCTCATAGTCTAAATAAACACCTATATGGCTACAAAAACAGTTGCTATAGAATATTTTCACGGTAACAGAATCAATTTTTAGATTTTAATGCATTTTAAAACATTTTAGTCTTTTTGTGTATGATCTGAATAGTGCTGACATTTTTCATTAATTCTTATAAAACTTTATTAAGGCACTTAATTAATACGAGTGGACTCTTAGGTGTAAATTGGTGATGTAATTTCCGATTGTGTGGCCACGACTACCCGCAAATTCATTTGTTTATCATGAACAGTGTAAAAACATTCATGATAAAAACAAATTTCGATACCTAAACAAAGTTGTACATATTTTATGTCGTAAATATAGTTTATATGCGTACTGCATGGCTGGAGTTTCCATCATATTAAAGTTCATATACAATTAACAATTAATTAATGTACAATTAGCGTCTCAATATATTCGAGCCAGTCCCAGGATCCGGACTGCATCACTCCATTTATTATTGCTGCGAATGCGTGGATATTATATTGGTATTTCATATTATGATCGTCTGCCGGCAAAATTCAATTAGAAAATAGAGTTGCTATAGAATTGTCATGGGTTGTAAACACAAACACGACCAATTCGAAGTTACTCTAAGTGAGCTATATGATTGGAATCCTTTGATGACTTTTGAGTTAACCTAGAACTCATTTAGCTAAAATCTTGAACATAACTATAGATGAAACTATACCTTTCCCTCAATACAAAATTCGGATATACCCTTACGTTAAGTCAACCTGGTACCCAGTGTCTTTCCTCTTGGGGAGAAAAGACTCTGGTAGACGCTGGTCACGTGATCTGCTAAAATCTAGCAGACTTCTAATTAACTATCTTGGATTCCTTAACGACAATCATACAAAATGCAAATTATAAATTAAACTAAGAAAATCATCCAAATATCAAATATTTATTGACCTCATCTTGACTTGTTAATTAAAAATCTGCTAGATTTTAGCACATCACGTGACCAGCTGTTTACAACACCAAACTGGGGGGAGCGGGGGAACAAAGCGCGTTTTGACAATGTGCAATATTCCATTAATCTTGAATAATTGGCTGGAACTGTCTGAAGGAATGGTACAAGATTGTGGGATGGAAGCCTTAGTTTGGCTTTGAGCAGAACTCAGTATATAGCAAGTTTGATGTATAAAATAATTAACCCGTAATCTACGACTTAAAGTGTAAACTCATCTTTTTCAAAAGACTCCCTTACGGAAATTTCGCATATGATTTCACATGTAAAATCCATATGTGGAATTGGAACACTTTGCATGCATGTGAAATTGATTTCACATGTGAAAATTTCACGTGTGAAATCCCGACCATTTTACATTGTGAAATCAACATGTGGAATTGGAACACTTCACATGCGAAATCGATATCACATGTGAAGCTTTCATACGTGAAACAGAACTTGTCATATATGAAATTTCAGAAATAATGAAATTATGAGATTTGAACTTAATTGCAATAAAGTTAGTTTTGCCAGATAAGATATATTTTAATGGTAATTCCATTCATTTGTTATTCACATTTCAGAGTTTTTTTTATCGGGAATGCTTTGCCATTGCCAGTTTTTGTCTTGCCAACAGGTGTTGGATTTGGATTTTTTTTACCTTTCCATCTAGTTAAAGAGAAGCACAAGGACTTTGTTAATGAACCACTGCATGCTTAAGAATTAAATGTAAAATTTGTAATAATAACTTTGTAATATCTGTTAAGAATTTCTGGCGAAGTTAATAAATTAAATTAAATTAAATTAAAATTCTCTTTCATATATCAAAATAATATGGCCGATTACGGACGAGGCTAAGAAAACAGCGAAATTAAAATAGAACGCCAATTTTTTTTTTTATTTGTAAATAGTAGGATTTTAATGTTTTAATAAGGTTTTAGATTTTTAGTAACAATAAGACTGGCCAAGACTGTGTTAAAAGTAAATTAAAATTACATACAAATAACACAATGACTGACTTAGACCGTCATGCAGGAGTTGGATACAGGACTAAGTGCCCGAATGGCGATGTCCCCTTAGGGTTAGGGTTATCAGAAGATTATTTGGTCGTCAATTGCTACAAAGCATTTTTGCTGATAAAGGCAGCCTTTAGTGATTACATAAATAATGCACTAAAAACCAAGTGAACGTATAAAGAACGTTTTAAATATCTTTCCCCCAAATTTGGTTTACATGATTCAACTTAATACAGTCGTAGTTCAAGATTGAAAGGGAAAGCCCTAAAGGGAAATTTCTTTTGGCAAAAAGGGAAATCCCTTTAAATGCATAGAAACCGAAACGTAAGCAAAAATTAAAGTGCATAAATGGAAATTCCCTTTCAAAGCAAATAGAAACCGAAACTTAAGCAAAAAAATGCAAAAAAGGAAATTCCCTGTGAAAACGTATAGAAATCGATACTTAAGCAAAAAATTCAAAAAGGGAAATTCCCTTTGAAAGCATAATTTATAGAAACCGGAAAGTATAAAGCAAAACAAGATACAAAAAGGGAAATTCCCTTTGAAAGCAAATTTTATAGGAACCGAAACTTACATTAAGCAAATAAAAATGCGAAAGGGGAAATTCCTTTTGAAAGCATATACAAACCAAAACTTAATTAAACAACAAAAAAATTAAAAATACACATTGCATTATTAATAAATTGACACCAATCAATAAATCAGCATGGACTAATTTCTGTTGGCTGCTCTTTAACATATTTGCGTATTCAATTTCCAGCTTGGTGCAGCGAAATTTCATTATTGATCGCCCAGTCCTATAGATGATTAATTATTATCAGCCCGCATTTTACATTACGGTCATTTTAGCTGCATCATCAACATACAATATAAGTATACTATAGGCTTAAAGAGCAGTGTTGATGTAGAGAAGGCGCGAAAGGTTGAAAAGTGAGGTTATTATTAACGGAGAAACACTGACCATAATGCCGCTTTAGCAGCTTTTGGTGCTCTTTGAAAAACTCATGACTTGTGCTTGTTTTATCCAAATTGCATTCGAAACCATCATATTATACCTAATAGTAATATTGATTCGTCTGCTCCAATATAATTATATTCCATATTTACGTGAGTATATCCATGTATTGGTTTTAATATTGACTGTTCCTTGCAAATTATCAGTAGTGTGCATTTTCAGGATATTTACGTAATTTGCAGCCCAATGCGCAAGCACAAATTCCACTGCATGGTAACTTATATATAGAGGAATTTGATAAAGTTCTCAAAAGGATGTGCACGTGATTGTTTGGATCAATGAAGCGTGCATTGCTTGCATGACAATGCACATTTTTGTTATATATTATACTGAGTCTGTGGGGAAGGGGTTTTAAAAATGGTGTCCACAATTTAAGCAGATCAGCATGCAGTAGTCAAGTATTGACAACACGGATGCACAGCGACTGCGTTGGCTAACTATTTGTAAGTTGGGTATTACACTTCAGATCGATAATAGTTATTCAACCTATATTGTTCAATAAGTTTTAAATTAATTCAACCTACTTAATTTATATACATGCAAGGAATCTATCTACAACGCTTGGAGCCAGAAATTAGACGGTTGTGACTACTTACTGGCTGCCTATATATTAAATGTATAAGCTTTATCGCCGTACTCCCCTTGGTCAATGTTGGTAAAAATCGACGAAACATCATGTGAACGTGCAGCGACAATATTATGATTAGTTTGGGTGTAGATCAGTAAAAGACAGACGGATAAAAGGCGGACGGCGGGGCATTTTATAAACACATGACTGCTACCGCTACTAATTATAATACCCCAAATTAAAGTATACCAGCCTTCATAAATCTGTGAAATGAATATTTTTTCACCCGTTCGAATATTTAGCAATGGAATTTTTTAATCATGGCATTCAATACGTATGTATGATTTGAGGCTATTCGCCGTCTTTCGCGTGAAACATTTGGAATATGGAAATATTGTACCAAAAGCGCCTTAGTTTTGGTGCTTCTGTTTAACTGCCCTATAACACTGCCATTGAATTAAAATATTATTAGGCGCGGGGCTGTTACATGACATTCACTTGCTGTCATTTTCTTAGTTAGTCAAATTGTGCTGACTTGTTTTTTTATAATGAAAATAATCCCCGTTTTACTTCCTAAAAGGCTAACACGCAGCCAAGGTCCATCAGTCATGTGGGTGCTTACACATTACTATTCCACTGTATATATGTAGAACGAAATTATAACCTTCCCTTCAAATACATATAATAGAATACCCAATAGTTATGCACTGCCCAACTTACATTGCTCAACTCAGTTGACGTTACCCATAATATATGCATTTTTCAAACAGCTTGTTAAACTGATTACTGTTTAAAAAATATTGGGCTCAATGAAAATCCAACCTATCAAATGGTCCGCCTATAATACATAATATTTCTAAAATCCACTATATAGAATAGTCGCAAATCGGGCATTTCTACGTGTCAACCTCTTAGGTTTACAATTAAAACGGGGATTATTTTCATTATAAAACAACAGGCCAGCACTATTTAAAGTACGAAAATATGAGCAAGTGAATTATCACTTATTTATCGAGACCGAGGGAAACAGTGTGTTTTGTGGACCCGAGACCGTCGATGTTTCCCGAGGGAAACATCGACGGTCGAGGGTCCACAAAACACACTGCTTTCCCGAGGTCTCAGTAAATAAGTGTTTTATTATATATCAATAGTCAAAGAAACAACAAATTAAAGGACAAATGAACGTAAATACATGAATTATTTTATTGTTAAAACATTAAATTTAACACTACATGAGTTACTTAAAGCGAAAGTTTAACTAGGCATGTCCAAAAGTCGCATCTTCACGTGATGACGCGCGTGATTTTTTCAGTCTCGTTATTCGCCGGTCGATAAAGTATTGTTTCCCTATCGCGATGTTGCGAGGGAGACAGCCTAATTTCGTCACTCTCACGTGATATGCTCTTGACCAATAAAACACTAGAAAAATGCGACTTTGACTATTGGTATATAATAATGTCATTTAATTCTGCCTAACAGAAGCTCCAAAACTAAGGCGCTTTTTTTACAATATTTCCAAAAGGTTCCCGAGAAAGACGGCGTATAGCTTATCATACATACGTATTGAATCATTCGAATGCTGATTAAAAAACTCCATTGCTAAAAATTCGAACGGGTGAAAAGATATTCATTTCACAGATCTATGGCTGGTATATTTTAATTTAGGGTATTATAATTAGTTGCCGTAGTAATCATGTGTTTATAAAATGTTCCGTCGTCCACCGTCCGCCGTTCGTCGTCCGTCCGCCTTTTATCTACACCATAATTAGTTTGCAACATTGAATCGGGGTAGCAGAGGAAAACTCTATGTGTCACAAGATTATTGTTGGGAGTCTTGTCTGAAAGTACACACGAGTGACTACGAGTGACCACGAATGACCACGAATGACTACGAATGACCACGAGTGACTACGAGTGATTTCTGTGTTTAAAAGTCACAAAATAATAATAAAAACTATTTTAAGGTGGCTCCCTAGGGTGTTTGCATGATACTAGCTACACTTTTGTATCCAGAAAACTCCTCTTTCTTCACTTTACATGACACGAATACGAAATTTATTGGACACATTGACAATGCTCTCCTGAACATTGCAATTTGGTACTTTTGCGCTGAAAGTCCGTTACCATGGTGACAGCGTGCCTAGGATAATTAAGCTCAAAATTTGTCTTCTCCGTCCGTTTTAAAAATCCCCTTCAAAAATTTGCATAATAGATAATTCTCCTGTAATGATTTTTTTCTTCAATTTTAAAAATTCTATGGAACGTTTCTTAGAAAATTTCAAATACGTCACAAATTAAAATATTCCCTTCAATAAGTGAAGAAAAAAGGATATTGAGCTTGTTTACGATACTAAGAAATGTGCAAAGTTTTAAAACAATTTACCGAAGGAAAAGGGAGAAATTTAGGTTTAATTTTGGCATTTTTTGCGAGATGTGACGTGTAACCTCCCCCCCCCCCAACCGCAAAACTCAGACAAAAATCGGGTAAAATTCCAGTTAAAATTTTGATATTTTCGGGTAAAATTTGCGTAGTAAAGTCATTATTTGTGTTAAATGATAACCATTTTTGTAAAATATACAGTCAATTTGTATCCAATTTGTTTGCGAATTTAAGTTTAGAAAACGACAGAATTGCAGTCCTAGAGCTTGAAAAATGGAACAATTTTTTGGAGGAGGACCACCAAACCCGCGTTTTCTCCCGAAACCTGAGTAAATCAGTCACAAAAAGTTTGTTATAATTATTACACTTTAGGTAAATATTTATTAAAACGGTAAATTTCTGGTGTTTTAGGTAAAATCCTCCGATAACCCCCAACTTCAGATGCTTTGCTACATTCCCGTACAATAGTCGAAAAACTCCAAAAAATTTGCCGAAGGGATTTTTAAAATAGCCGGAAAACGACAAATTTTGAGCCTTACCCTAAGCACGCTGTCACCATGGTAACGGACTTTCAGCGCAAAAGTAGCAAATTGCAATGTTCAGGTGAGCATTGTCAATGTGTCCAATAAATTTGTCTTCGTGTCATGTAAAGTGAAGAAATTAAACAGGAGTTTTCAGGATACAAAAGTGTAGTATAATGCAAAAACCTTAGGGAGCCACCTTAAAATAGTTTTTATTAGGGGCGGACCATTTGATGTTTGAAGGGGGGGGGGGAGTTTGAAGATTTCGAAAAAAAATTTCCTGCAATCCAAGGAGAAAGAAAAAAAATCATGCAGCATACAATCGAGAAAAAAAAATCATGCAAAAGAGAGGGCTCAAAAAAAATTCCTACATGTAAATCTACTGACGTTCTTCACTTCAGTATTGTGTCCACGGCTTGCAAGATTTTGCATTTTTGAGCAGGCACATTTGCTTAAAAGAACACGGTCTATAACATACGATAGCCAGTGGCGTTGCCCCCCCCCTGAGAAAATATGGGCTTAAGATATGTCCAAGTTTATAAGTTATATATACATATCTAATATGCATAGAAGAAAAAATATTTTTGGATGGTTGAGACTGTGTGCGCTTTTTGATAACATAACTCGAAACTATTAAAGCTTCAAAGGCTATCTGCAGGATGCAAGTTGAACGTAGTGTATATACGATGATTTTAATGCGAATATGCCAGTTTAGAGAGTCTAGAATTTAAACAATTTTTGAAGAGGATGAAACCCGATCCCCAACAAACTATCTGTATGAACGATTGAAAAGCTACAGAGCTATATTTGGTGGAACATTGTTGTTTCGGAGGGCAGTTAAAAATTGCATTATTGAAATCTTGTTCTATTACATATTAATCAAAGCTCATTTTGTGATTTTCCATTGTTTAAAATAAAGGACAGCAAGTGTTCCTTAGGCTTAGTACAGCAAAGTTGTTGCACTAATTCATGGCTGAAAACGCAGGAAATAGCAGTTCCGAGGTTCAAATTTTAACATTTTCTCGGGGGAGCATGCCCCCGAACCCCCCAAGGTTACAGGTCATTCATATACTGTACCTCCCCCATTTTCGAGTACTCTACTCTATCCCTGCATGTTTAGGTTTTGGTGCAGTTATAAATTTTTTGTAAGTAAACCTGCACGCTTTAGTGTTGGGAAGATTAAGACATAATCATATAAATTAATATTATATTTCATTAAAGCATTAAATAAAAGCATTAATTAATTAATGCATTATATGACTCAGCAATCTTTGCAAATTTGCTGATATGACACATTAACGTTTGGGGGAAATCCCTTCAAGGGAAACTCCATACATATTCCGGAATTATTCTAACTCAATGACCTTGAAGGCACACAAACTCAAAATAAAGGTCAATAACCTGTCACTTGTTGTAAACCACTAATAATTCGTAATTTATAACATGAATAGCTTGTACGTAACCTTTCCTTAAATTTTCAATTAATGTTTCAATTTATATTCTGTAGTTCCAGCGCACAGTTGTCTACACGATACGATTAGCCGCCTACGGAAAATTACGCCACAATTCCTGTTCATTCAGATCATATGAATTTTTTTAGGCGTGCACTGCATGCCAGGAGGATAATAAATCTTATAGCCTAAGACTAATCTTGACGTGAGATCGACGCGCATTATTTTTTTATACTATATTGACCGTCAAATAATCCAGTCATGCAGGAGTTGATTCAACATCATCCAACATTCTTCGATACAACCTTTTTTTTATTTCCCCCAATTGTCCAAAGTACAAACTTGTGTAATCTTTATCGGGTAAATCATTAGTACAGTTGCAACGGTACATGGTAAGGTTATCGTTGATTTTGAAAATATTTAATATTTTCAAATCATTGAACAGCGGTTTTGTATGCTCTGTGTATGATTTAAATGTCATTAATCGAATAATCTTTTTTTGAATTCCGAAAAGCTTTTCAATTTTCGAAGGGTATCTATTACCCCAAGCTAAATTACCATATGTAAGGTATGGATAAATTAAAGCATAATAGGTCAACTTTATATAGGGTTGAAGTTCGTAAAATGTCGCAATTTTGAAATTAGTCCGTTAAATTGACAATATAGTTTTACATATAGAATCCACGTAAAATTTTCATCAATTAGTGCACTCAAAAAATTTGTATAAGCGACCTTTCGGATAAATTCGTTTCTTATTTTTATTGTAATATGAGAGTCCAATATTTTTTTGAATTGAAAAGAATTAATTTCGTTTTAGAAGCGTTAATTGATAATTTATTAGCATTAATTAAGCCAATTCATAATTTTATTCATTTCTTCTTGCATTATATTCGTTAAAGAGGTTAAGCAAGAATTATTCATTTCTTCTTGCATTATATTCGTTAAAGAGGTTAAGCAAGAATTTGAATAAAAAGCATTTGTGTCATCTGCATACAAGACAAATGAGATAACATTACTATAATTTTAATATCATTGATATATAACAAGAAGAGCAAAGGTCTAAGTAATTGATCCTTGATGAACACCGGTAGTAATAGTCATTTCTGATGAATTGTATATTTTACTACTTGTTTTCTTTCTTTTAAATAACTTTTAAACCAATCAATTCATAATCTTCTTATACCATAATGTTCTAATTTTTTTATAAGAATTTCATGATTCACTGTGTCAAATGCTTTTGAGAGATCAAGAAAAATTCGAATTGTGTATTTGCCTTCATATATTGCTTTAGAAATGTTGTCAGTAATTTCAATAATTGCATGTTCTGTTGATCCAAATTTTCTAAATCCGTATTGGTGTTTCGACAAGATTTCATTTTCGTCAATAAATTTTATCAATCTTTGATACACTACTTTTTCCAATAATTTTGAAAAACATGATAATACCGAAATAGGTGTGTAGTTTTGATATCTAAAGTTTTCATTTGCCTTGTATACGGGAGTTAATAATGCTATTTTTAAAAAGTCTGGAATAATTCCAGTGCGGGTAATATGTCAAATTGAATATATTAGCTAATGGTCTACAGATTTCATTTCCAATGGACTTTTTTTACTTCGGCTCATCATAATTAGATTCTTTTCAATTTTTACTTCAATCTCAGTAACCGGCTAAACAAACATACTTTTCACATAACTTCCGGAAAGATACCTGTCAAATGGTTTTTCATTATTTTCGGTGCGAATTTGTCTAGCTAACTCAGGTCCTACATTAATAAAATATTTATTAAAATTGTTTGCGATAGCAGTTAGATTTGTCAAGGCTTTGTTGGAATTTCAAACTTTTTCTATGGCTTTATCTGGTAGCGTGGATTTTTCGTTCCTTCTATTTAAAATTTCGTTAATCGTTTTCCATGTCATTCTACTATTGTTTTTATAATTTTCAAATTGTTTTTCATATTTTTTTTGGCAAGTTTGACTAGGTGACTTCGTTTGTTCTTATACTTTTTGTATGTTTCTTCATTTTTCCAAGTATATATATAGGTGTTTTCAAATATTTTCTATAAAGTTTATTTCTTGCAATTTAAGGGACCGGTCATTATTTATGGCTGGGGGTGGCACCGAAGAGAAAAGGGTGGGGAAACTAAATTTGGAGTAAGTAAAAGGTTGGGTAAATGAAAAACAACTCAACTCAAGGGTTGGCTGATAAAAAAATTGTTGTCATTTCCAAAACATGACTCACAGAATTTTTGGGGACTAAAAAGCAATGGCGACAGTAGCTAGCCCTACTCTGAGGCGGTAACAAGATAATGTGAGTTTAAGCAATTTTAGGTGATTTAAGCAAAATCTGCAACTTTAAAGCAATGTCTGTTTCAACCTCGTTCCCAGGGTCTCTCCTTCTGTCATCTGGGAGAGATCCTGGCTGCGGCTGGTCACGTGCCTCCCAGACTCTGGGAGGTAAATTTAATTGTAACTGTGAGAGGGGTGGGAAAGGAGCGTGTTTGTAGCGTTTTAAAATTGCAACTTTGGGTGATGAAATTTACTGTAAATTTGCAACAAGAAATCGTAAAGAGAACTCTTAAATTAATATTTATATCGTGACGCTCTACTCTATAATCTGGTGTCGAGTTACAATTCAAGCAAGTTGGATCAGATTTCAATATTCAACTTATAGATTTGCCAAAGAAAGCACGCTTGCCGCTTGTGCAGCGTGGCGATATTAAACCTACAAGAAAATGAAGATCTCTAGACCGAACAGTGTGGTTGTTATTTATTTAGTATTAATGTCTATACTGATACTCGGACCAAAAGAATTTATTTATTGATGAGATGTGGAATTGCAACGAAATAGCGAGATCTTTTGATTTCCGAAATATCGCCAACTGTATCCAGATTGTTGATCTATATAAAGGCCGTATCAAAAAATCTTAAAGCCCGTCAAAACACTATAAAATATATTGGCCCTTGGCATTGCTGAAACCAACGATCATGGTATATGTCAAAGCATAGCTGTCTGTTGAAAATCTACGGTATTAAAATCATACACCAAAGATAAGTTAAACGACAAATTATATGTCAGTGATGTCACTATATATTATACATGTCTTTCAATGAGCACTGTTTTTAGTAGTGTTTACCACCTTTATAAATTTTGTAAACAGCTTTCGTTTTGACATGAATAAGCTTTAATTTTTTGCTGTATATGCATTCTTAATAATACAAGTGAGATTTAAATTTTTGCTTTGACTTTGTGAAGTAGAATACCGTTATTTTTTAATGGACAGCTTACATCGTCTATATCATATCCAGGATTGCTTGTGTGTGAACGCATTATTCACTATATGACACTATCAAATAAATAAATGATTAATGAATTAGAGATAAACAGGTGATTCACAATAAAAACTTTAAAAATGTTAGTAGAAGTAAGCTGAAAGAAAACTCGATAATTTATGTCTATTCGTATGATGCCAATGACGGTCTGTGCGCATCTGACACTGTAAATTTGCAATATAGATTATAGTATGTTAACACAATATAATGATTAATAGAGACCAAAAAAAGGCTAAAGTCTTACTATAATTACCGAAAACGAATTATGTATTAAATCCAGATAAACCAATGACTGAAATTTCCTATATACTTATAGATATTTCTCTGTTCGGCTATTATCAAATGTTTACATTTGCTAATATTGGGTCAGTCCTAGACAATATTGTTTCTTTTAAAAATCTTATAAACAAGACGCGTAGTAACAAGTGAATCGGTACAAAGCGTATCAACGTTTACAAGAAAGGACGAATGTAATGGCGTATTTTAAAAATAGGTACGCGACGCGTACATGTATCTGCGAAAAAACTTGATTCACATTTTGTATTTTCTTGAAAGAAACTGAATAATGAAGATGACATGGGACAATTGAAATATTTCATCACTTATTATAATGGCAGATAAGATTTAAAACAGGGCTGTACACAGCGGGGAGTGCAGCAGGGCAAGTACAACCACCACCACCCCACCCCACCCCACCCACGCACTGAGAAAATTTAACTAACTTTATAATGTGATTATGATTGTAACAGATAATT